TGGAAATTTTCAAATTTTTTTTTCCAAAATCAATTATTTTGTTAAGACGAGCAGAAAGTTCTTTGAATCATTTAAATCGGACGCTTAGTTCTCTCAAAAACTGCTATTTTTTACATATTTAGCTCCGTATCTTCAAATGGCTGGGCCTGCCTTTGCCAAAAACTAATAAACACTTCTCCCAATTATTACTAATTGAATGTTTTTTAGATCATTCAAATCGGATACTCCGTTCTCTCAAAATTCGATTTCTATTTTCTGCACTCTTTGCTCCGTATCTTCGAAACGGCTGGACCTGCCTTTGCCAAAAACTAATCAGCTCTTTTTCCCTATCAATGGAAATCGAATGTTTTTTGAACCATTCAATCCGTTGATCCGTGCGCCCTAAAACGTGACTGGAAATTTGTATCCACACATACATACACACACACACACACATACACACACACACACACACACATCCATTTTTTCTGAGGTATGCCAAAACGTTCAGAAACCTTCAAAACGTCGAGAAATGTAAAAATTTTCAATTCCGATTTTCGGCCCATTACAATAACTTACCCTACGGGAAGTTAATAAATTTATATCCAAAGTCTAGTTATTAGCAAACGATACTTTATTGATATTCATATAATAACATATTAAATTATTTGCATATATGTAATATATTGTTTAATATTGTGAAATCAAATATGAATATAGAAAATGAAATCTTAGGATAATAATTTAAATAACTAAAAAAACAGAACTGTTATGAAAATTCACAGCCACATTTTGAATTCAAGAAAAAATGTCAATAATGTCACAATTTATTATTAGAATTATTACAAAATAAAATATTATTAGTGCAGATCACATGTAATATTAAAAAGTTGGTATAACAAAATATCTACTTATAATTTAAGTTATAATAGTTTTACTTGAACATAAATGATCAATAGTGGATATTTTTTACTAATAAAAAGTCGTTAAATTGTCAATTAATAATTAAAGATGCTACATATAGCCATAACATATTAAAATTTATAATAATCAATTTATTTTAACCTATGATTAAAATACAATTATATTGTATTTAAAATATTTTTAAAATAAATAAAAATCATTTGTAATTTTTTTGAGATATTAATTTTTGTGAAGAGAATGAGAAATTGTTTTAGTTATTTTACATGTTAATAATTGTTATAACTGCTTACAAAATGGCATTGGGTCGTGAAATCGTCGAAAATACGAATTTCCAGCTTCTTCTGTAAGAGAAATAAATCATTATCTATAGTACCTTTGCAAATTCAACTTAAAATTTAAAAAATAATATTAAATTGAAAATTGTAAAAAATGATTTAAAAAATTTTAAGAAATAAAATCGTGAATGCAGTAAAGGTCTCTAAAGAGACGCACGAGTGCATGAAAATATGTTCTTAAAAGGGTTAATATGGTTTTAGATACATTCTACAGTGAATAAGAATAGTAAAACTTAATTTAAATCTGTCTAATAATATTATTGCAAAGAATAATAAACAAAACCATTATTTGAAACTATTTCTTGGTTTAATATACACGTATTTCGACGGACATGGTGGTAATGGCAACGTTCTCGATAGAAACACGTACTGGGTATAAAAAACTGATTGTAAAATTGAACTGCATAGTGAATATATTGCACTAATAAAAATAAAAGATGTATGTAAAAAATCCATTCAATAGAATAGGTTGTAAGAAGTATGCGAAATAAACAAAAAAATACCTAACTAGTTGAAAGTGGCATTTAGCCTTAAGGCAAGTTGCATGAACTTCCCGAAATGTGTAAGAATTGACTTACTCAATCGAAATTGAACTTTAGATGTGTAAATCATATTTTCAACGGTTTATTTCAAAAATTAAGTTATAGATTACAATTAAATCTAAACATTGCGATTTCGAATAGAATTTTCTCAAACACATTTAAATTAACTGTAATTAAATTAATTATATTGCACAGACACGTGCTTGTATGCCCTAAAATTGTAGCTTATTATTTTAAATTTTAATGAATTGATAATGTTTGACTCATCATATCACAAAAGCAACTTTTACAAAAATTTGACTATAATATTTTCTCAAACTTTGATGAATTTTTAACACTAAACTATTTGTCGCAGAGCCGTAACATTTTAGTATGATCTATAAGACCATGATATCTATTGCAGTTAATTTTAAGAAAACGGCTCGGCAGATTTTTACCTAAAATTAATCAGTATCATTCCAAACCAATATCTTTCGAACAGTTTTTGATTTTTTAAAATCGATTCAGAATTGCGGGCTAAAACGTAGACGAATTTTTTCACTTTTCTGCTATTTACAAAGAAACGGCTTGGCTGATCGTCGCGCGAAATTAATAAACAAACCTTAGTTTTTATCGAGATACATCAAATGGCTTTTGAATTTTTGAAAGCGGTCAGTCCGTTTTAGAGAAAAGTCAATTTACGTAAAAAATCTGTTCACACACACACACGCATACTATTTCCAAATTTCGTGCCAATCGATTCAGAATGGCTTCAAACGTGGAGAAAACTTAGCAAATCGGATTTTTTTTATGAAAACATAAAATTGAATGAATTGATTGATTGAATTTTTGGTTGAATCAATGACGCTTTGTCTACTTTCAAGCAGCATCATCATTCCGCTTTCATGAAACTTCTTATTATTATTAGTAAAAAACTTAATGAGATGCAATTTGACACCGAAGTAATCATTTCATTGCTTATCATTCAAGGAGTTGTGAAAAGATCTATAAAAAAATTAATCAGAAAGTGCAAGATCAGGACTGCATGGTTGATAGGCAAAACATCCTAACCAAGCTCCAATATATTTTACCAATTGGCTCAAAAATATATGGTGTCAATATTGTAATAAATCATTGCTTCTAATTGTCAATTCAGGCTGCTTTTTCTTCGAACGGCGAATTATACCAAAGAAGGGTCAAAGGATTTCTTTGTATCAACTTTGACTGGACGACCAGGCCGTTTTTCGTCTTTGAGTGCAATATCATCAGAACAAAATTTGGCAAACAAATAATGTCTTATTTTGTTTGCAAAAATAACTAGTTGGTATTGGTATTTTGCCTTGAGGCAAGTTACATGAACTTCCCGATTTGTGTAAATAATCGACTTAATCCATGATAGATAAATTAATTTATGAGTAGTTAAAAGTATTCGAAGTGGATTTATTACACATTATTGAAAATCGAACACGTCAACCCGGTCGGAGTATTTTTTAAAAGCAAATTTTCAAAAATCAATAATTTTAATAATTGAGCCAGTTTTTTGTAGGACTTTAATTGTTTAGTATGTTCATTAAGACTAAGCATTTATTGTTGTACCAGGTAAATCATCTAATTTTTTTTAACAAATGTTAAAAAAAACTACTCATTTTCTCAAACTATGATGAATTTTTAAAATTAAACTACTTGTAAGGCCGTAATATTTCAGTAAGTTCTATAAGACCATGATATATATCGCCCAAAAAAGTTCCATGAAAATCGGCTTAAATTTTTTTTCAACAGTTAATTACAAGAAAACGGCTCGGTAGATTTTCACCTAAAACTAATCAGTATCATTCCCAACTAATATCTTTCGAACAGTTTTTGATTTTTTAAAATCGGTTAGGTAGTATGAGCTTAAATGTGGACGAAAGGTTTAACACTTTTTCCAAAGTACAAAGAAACGGCTCGGCCAATCGTCGCACAAAACTGAGAAACGATAATCCTAATCGAGATACATCAAATGGTTTTTAAATTTCTGAAATCGGTTCAGGCGTTTTTGAGCAAACGTCGATGAAAGTTCTAATTTTGACAAATGCCAAAAACACCATACTAATTTTTGCAAACTTTGATGAATTTTTAAAGCTAAACAAGTTGTCGTAGGGCCGTAATATTTAGTATGATCTAGAAGACTATGGTATCTACCGTTAAAAAAATAATAAAAATCGACAAAAAATTTTTTTTAACACCTTATTACAAGAAAACGGCCCGGCCGATCTCTACCAAAAACTAATCAGGACGATTCCCAACCAATATCTTTCGAACGATTTTTGAATTTTCAAAATCGATTCAGAATTGCGGACTAAAACGTGGACGAAAAACTTTTTACTTTTCTGCTATTTACGAAGAAACGGCTTGGCCGATCGTCGCACAAAACTGACAACAAACAATAGTCCTCATCGAGATACATCGAATGGCTTTTAAATTTTTGAAATCGGTCCAGCCGTTTTTGAGAAAACGGCGATTTACGGCAAAAAATCTGTTGGTGCACACGCACACACGCACACACACACACACATACTTTTTCCATATTTGGTCTCATTCGATTCAGAATGGCTTGAAACGTCGAGAAAACATAAAATTAGCTAATCGGATTTTTTGATGAAAACATAAACTTCTCCTTCGTGAAGTTAAAAAAGTAAGATATGACAAAATTTCGTTTTGATTTTTCACCTTTCAGCAAACGCCGAACGAAACCCAGACAGCAGATATGCCTAGTAAGTACCCAATAACAAAATATTTGGAGAACACCAGCAAACCTAAAATCCAATTGAAATCGTTAAGACTGAAAATCGCACTTACTTAGTTGCCTACGGAATAATTCAAGTGTCCAAATGTTGAAAAGTTAGGTACACTATAAAAAAATTAAAACCTTTCTACCTCTATTACCTTCTACTGTTATATTTGTGTAATTTATTTAGTTAAGGTCAATATATTCTAAATAGTTGAACGGCTTTCAATGTTGCTTTTTGAATTGGTTAAAATAATTAGTATTGGTTCCCTGACACATGTTATATTGGAAAATTAATTTTAGAAGACCACACATATTTTGTCATTGAAGATTTTTTGTCATTCAACTTACTTTACTTTCAAAACCGATCATTCGATATGTAGTTATAATGTAAATTAACGAAATAATGATAAAGATATGTCGATAAATTTGCTTTTAAAATATTATTTAAAAACATCCCTTTTCTACACTTACCAATTTTTTCTAAATCCCTTTGCAGCTGCTCCAGCTCCTCCTCTACTGTTAGCTGGCACATTCTTTTTAGGTTTATTGTGTTCCATAGTGGCACATTTTGGGATGTGCCTTTCTGCAGCAGCCTGGTTAAATCTGCGTCCACAATGTGGACACTGGACATAGTCGGGATTTTCGCTTGGAGGAGGTGGTGGCAAATCTGATAATTTTCCACCAGATTTCAAATGTTGTTGGACTTCTTTCGCAGCCCTGATAGCGTTTATGAAATCTTCGTGCTTCTTGCGCCAATTTGTTTGCAGTGGCGGACGTTTTGGAATTTGCGAAGTTCCTGATGGATTTTTACGAGCGCGTATTCGGACGAATTGTTCGGCATCAGTGCCCTGATTAAAAGAAATAGAATTAAACGTGACGGTATGACAAAGATAGAATCATTATAGAACTTAAGATTTTATTGTATCAGGGAATAAAAATGTGAATTTTGCGTTTTGACGTTTCTAAAATATGTAATGATTTAAATTAATAATTGCAAATTATGTTCCAAGTTCATGTTAACCCTTGCATAATGAATTGCCAAACGATATTAAGATGACCAATGATGGCGATAAATTAAAAGAAAAATAAAGAAATACTATAAGGAAATTGAAGACAAAGAAGACTGAAGAGTCATATAAAGATAGAGTTATTTTAATTATAATAGATATTATATTAATGAAATGTATATATAGAATATGAAAACTGTTTTCATAATCTCTCATACCAGGCACTTCTGTCTGTCTGAGATATGAAAATAATGTATATATAATAAAATAAAAAAAATAAAATAAAATAAACTAAATATTGCAAAGTTGAAAAAAAAACACTAAACCTCCCAACGAATTTATGTATAACTTAGACATTTTTATTAACCATTATCAAAGTATATGACAATTCTTAGAATATACTAATAATAATTTTCTTCAAGCTTTCATTTTAGTTATTTTTTTATTTTCCGAAAAAAAAATATGTGGCCTAACTATCACGGACGGTCAACTTGACCGGTGGAAAATAATGTTATTTGGGTAGTTGTTTATATCAAAATATAGGTGTAGATTTCTAAAAATATACCAAATAAACCAGACAAATTAAAATAAAGTTCTGTATGATGTGTCAAGTCAATAGTAAATATACAAAAAAATGGGTTTCCCTATTTTGAAAATGATAAGAGGAGAGACTCTTCAATATTTCAATTGGATATTCTTATACTGATAAATTCATTCTCAGATTTTGAAGCAATTTGTATAAATCAAATTTCATTACTCTGACGGTGTATAAAAAATAATTGTTCCAAGTTTCAAACATTATCCAATAGAATTAGGAGAAAGCAGCAAAATTGAACCAAAGCTATTAGATTTTGTATTAGTAAATTGTTTGGTAAAAATGTGGCAAACCAGATGGCTAAAAAATGTAACTTGAAGCAGAAAATTTGTAGGTGGCAACTTATGGTTTATTTCAATATACTGAACTTAGGTGGATATATGCGTAAATTGTGTATAAAGAGATGACGAGTAATCAATCATTTTAGGCACGAATTTTTGTTCTAGTTAATTTCTTAACTCGGCGTTGCATATTCAAAATCTTTAGGAATCAAGTTTTATCAACACTGTCCATAAGTTCGGCTTTGTGTAGACGAAAACCTTGCCAATTAAAAATTGCGAAAGTTACGAAACAACAAATTTGCGTCAAATGTACATTTCAGACAAATAATTTATAAACAATGTGAGAAAGCCGAATGAAGTATTATGTATGAATGTATGCATATGGCATTCTTTATAAATATTTAATTTTATCATTTTTTTAAATTTCTTTTAGAGATGATATAAAAATAAATTTATATGAAGTGTGCGAAAATTTCTTTAATTTATGTACAATAAAAATGAATCAATCATTATCTGAATTAAATAATAAAATAGATAAATTTAATTGTAGGTCAATAGGTCAATAGGCATAGGCATACACGAAAAGTCGATAGGTTCAGTGTTAATATAAATTGACTATACCATAATAGTTTTATATAGTAGAATTTACGTTTTTTAGCTTTCTGTACATTTGCAAAATATTATTTATTTTTATAACCTTGAATTAAAGCGGAAATTAGAAAAATATGAGACCGCGAGGATGTACAAGGAATAAACACATCATAGATATGTACTGTGTTTAAACAGAAACAGTTCATAAAGAGTATAACTTCAACTACAATAATTTATGTGCAGCTTTCTGAGCATGAAGAATATGCCCGTCATAACTTAAATCTTTACAATAACTTACCTGAACTCGGTGTTTTAGTGCATCATACACTTTGCGCTTCTTCTGTGCAGTTTTTTGGCAGATTTCTCGATGTTTCTGTATACGATCATTGGCAAAATTTCTTCCGCAAATTGAACAATTGACTAGTTCGCCGCTGGCTAAGGCACTTGCTACAGCTTCAGAAGGAGCTGGCCGGGAACTCTGTAGAGATTGATAAAAATAATATTATTGTATAATTAAAAAAAATTATATTGTAAAATTATATCTATATTGTAATATAGATCAATTATCGATCATACTTTCCGAATAATATAATTAACTATTCCCAAAAAGCGTCAATATTTCTAACAAGGCTAGGTGTCTCGGACCGTGAGTCCACAGGAAAAACTTAAAACTGTTAACGTATAAGATCTTTTATATGGCTAATACTGCCTGACAAAAATGACATTTTTGTTTTTTTCCTCTAACTTATTTTTAAATGTACTTAGAACTTCACGCTAATTCAAATATCCCATTTTTGTAACAGCTCCTGTTTTTGAGTTATGGGAAACTACCCCCATTAGTCATTTCGACTATGATCAGCGCAGTATAACAAATAACTAAGAGTTTTACCTGTTGTTTTTGATATGGCTCCGACTGTAAGATGTTGTGTTCATAAAATATATAGTTTTTGATGCATTTGTGGTGAATATATTTTAGACAAATGACGAAAACATAGATTTGACTACGTAAAGGCAGTGTATTTCAACCCCTTTAAAATCGAATTGCGCAATCAACATAAAACATGGGTTCTTCCTACTATGCTAAATTGCGTATTATGTTTACTACAATGTCCAAAAGGGGGCGACCATTAATCACGTGATCGACTTTTTAAGGATTTTTGGATCCCACCGAACCCTTGATGAAACGTGGTGATATTCAAAATTAACCCCACACTCTCCCCAACCACACGTGAGGTGTTTTTTTAGGTACGGCATAAAATAGTAAAATTTTCAACTGATAAAAAATACATGGTTTATAAAATACATAAATAGGATTGAGAGGAAAACCAGGGATCCAGACGAGAGAATCCACCAAGACTGACATCAGAACTTTGAACATTTGAACAGAATCCATGAACTGTCAACATTCGAAAATTATATAAAAAACTTTTGAAAGCATAAAATGAAATTTGTGTTATTTTTCATTAAATAAATTGAGACAATAGAAGCAAATGGTCATAGTACTTTATGACCCCAATGGTCTTGGGATCTACTAACAATCAGATGTACGACCTCTATCCATTTTAATGATGAACAACCTAGAACATGAACATCTTCTGCCTACCTGTATGTATTGGATTAAGAGACCAACGTTAAAAGAAAAGGGAGGATGAGTTAAAAACTGATATGTCCGATAATTCCCAAATTAGGCAAAAATCCATGAAAAAGATCGAAAGGAAAACCAGGAGGCCAGGCGAGAGAATCCACCAAAACATCAGGACCACTTTATACTTGTTTATCCATGATCAGGACTTTGGAGGAATGATATCGAGAGAGGTGGGACGTTTGGCATGATGGCTGACAAATGTTGCTTATGACAAAATCAGTGAGAAATTATCCATGCTCGAAAATTATATAAAAATACTTAAAGGCATAAAATAACATTTGGTTATTTATCATTGTAATTTGAGGTAAAACTAACACATTGGTATATCTCAAAAACTAAAGCTGTTCAAAGATCTATTACTATTTTTGGAATCAGCATCCTCGAAGTACTTTCAAATCATTATAAGCCTTAACTTTAATTAATTAATTTATATTTATCATAGCCTTACCGTTGACGTCGCAGCCTTTGGACAAGGAGATTTCGGCACCTGTGGATGGAAATATATTATTAGTCAACAAACTTATTATTAATTAATTTTGTATAATCCATAAATTTCAATCAATCGTTTATACTTCATACATGAATACCTTATTTTGCACTTGTGGCATATTATTGTAATAAAATAAATAAATATCAAAGTTATTGTAACAAAATAAAAAATTGAAGTTGACGG